TTGGTATTATCATTGCGCTCTTCCTGGATGAGGCAGATCAGTAGCTGGGCACTTGACAGCCGCTCACGGTGGCTCTTGTAGCTCACGCTGGCTGCCAGCCACTCACAGTAGTCTATGGCAGCCCACTGCAGCAGGGGCTGTAGCCTATGCCGTGGCCAGCGACTCACCGGCAGCCCAGCTCCAGGTTGAGCTGTTGTTCACCATCTTAGCTGTAGAGGGCAGTGTCACTGGCCCTCATGTGGGGTCTGAACCTGGGCCCTGCTGCTCAGAGCTGGCGTCCCAAGCCAGCTCTTAACCAACGCGCCACTCAGACAGCCCTGACGTGGACTTTTTTAATGGTCTGTTTTTGTCACTTGGTGTGCTGTCATACATAGTTCATAGCAAATGCAGCCTTCATTTGTCCATCAGTAACACATAAGCATTTACTGAAGGAATTTGATCAAGAATTGATAAATGTAAATCAAAACATTCAGATAACAATATTCAAGAAAGTCAGAATCTTTGAGAAAGCCGGGGGTGGGGGATGCTCAACATCAATGACCTTTTATTTAACTCAAAGAGAAATATAAAAAAAATGTACTACTCCATAGTAACACAATCAAAAAAGGAATTATTGCTTCTGTTTCTAACTCCTGGAACCACTGGTCATGTCCTCAGGTCTTGCCTTCATCCATTAACTTCACCCTATTGGGATTCGGTTCAATTCCATTTTACTTTATTCTGGGGATTCCAAATGAAAAAATTATTTTGAAATTTGAAATATGGGGCATTGCTCCTCAGTATGATGAGAATGAATGGTGTAACTGATTGTTGCTTGCTAACTGTTCCTAGCTATCTCAGTGGAAGATACAAAGCATGGGATATCACAAGTATTATTCCCCATTTCCCCTAGCCTGTTGGCATTTATTCAGTTGGTCTTGCCTAAGCAAGGTTACTATAAACTAGATGCCAGATTTTGCTCTACTGATCTTCAATATGAAAAAAATCATTTCATTTTCAGCTCAGTAGACATCCCCAGAAGCTGTTGTAGCAAGCAGGATGTTTTCACATGATAGCATACAGCTCAGGGAATGATTTGAGCCAAGAAAAGTGTTTCTTGTTGGTCTTGCACACTCAGAGAAGAATGTCTGGATTCATTCTTGACCATCCCCAGGCCTTATAATAACTGTCTTCCCAGAGATGATTCTTCAGTGGGACCTCATTTCCTAATGGTAAGAAACAGAAGTCACTTCTGTTGTTGCCTGCCTCTCAAAATCAATCTTTGCAAATCTTGCAGCCTGGGTTCTGGGTTTTTCTTGCAAGAGTTAAGAAACAAACTGTAGGCAATCCAAAAGATGTCATTGATTTCAAGTCTTCATTCAGGGCTATTTTAGTATAGAAGAGCTGCTGGCACATAAGGGCCTGCCCCGCTGCAAACCATCACCAACTAAATACTGGACAGTTTTATCTGAGCACCTCATTCTCCAGATGAAATGGATCTTCCTGAAGCTGGACTTGGAGAAGGAAGAACCGTTCCCTGGCACTTAAGTGGTAAGAGAGCTGGAATATCTTGGTAATACATTTTGCTGTGCAATGGTTCTTTCTCACATGGCCTTCTAGAGTTTGAAGGTCCTGCAATAGTTCAGGATAGGACTTGTGAAGAGGAACCCTGGTGTTGATGGAGAATGGTTTCCTTGAGCTGTGGTTTGTCGACAAATTTGAGGGAATAATGGGGATCTTTCCAAACAGCAGCCATTCGCGTAGAACGATCTTTTCCGTCTTGCACTTGCAGCTGCTCCAGTAGATGGCGCCTCGAACTCTTTTACTGCCTTAGTTAATACATTTCTTTAGATGACTAGTCTAAGTATTTTTTTTCCTCTGGGTTTTTTAATAATCTGGCATGTTGTTGATTCTTTTAATTCTCTTAGAAAAAGGTAAAACAGTTTTTATAGATCAAGAGATCATAAAATGCAAAAATAAACTGTTTTAGCAAGTCTTACTGCAATTTCATATGAAAGAAACCACAAATGAACTAAGCATGCAGAGAGGTACAGAACTGAGGAATAGAAAAGGGAGCTTTTCCTCAAAATTTCCTTTTTTCTTTTCTCTAGACACTTCCAGTGCTTTGTATTTTCAGAACTTCTGCAAAAGATTTTCTTTTGAGAAGAGAATCCACTCACTTTTTATTTGTAGACTGGACACATTGATAGACCTTATTAATTTCCCATAGGAAGTCATCACATGCAAGAAGCAGGCAAAACTCAGAAAAAAGATGCAGCCTTACTAGTCTTTAGGGAGGTTGCAGCACTCATGGGCAATTTAAATACTGTCTGGTAAGTGCTGGGGGAAACCTGGGGAGCTACAGAAGCAGCTAGGAGGGCTGCAAAGCTGAGAGAGAGGAGGGGGGGACGGGAGGGAGAGAGAGACAGAAGAGGGAGAGAGATATGAAGGAAATCTAAGAAGGAGCTGCAGGCTGCAGGGCTAGGGGAGGCCTGTTGATGGGGAAGACATCTAAGCTGAGAGCTGAAGGACCAGGAGCCAGCCAGGCAGGGGTGGATGGGAAAGAGGTATGGGGAAATGAGTGCCTGTTCCAGGGAGAGGAGTAGGGACAGTATTTGCAAAGGTCTTGGGGAAGAGAGCAAGGCCTAGTTCAGGGAAAGCTTATGATCAGTGTCTTGAGGGTACTTTAGAAAACTCCCTCAGGGGCTCTTAACCTTTCTTGTGACGTAGACCTGTTTGGCAGTCTGGTGAAGCCAATGGGTCCCTTCTCAAAATATTGTTTTAAAATGCATAAAATTAAATTTGTTGGACTACAAAGGCAACCAATTATGTTGGAATACAGCTATCAAAATATTTTTTAAATATTTGATATAATAATGCATGTGCTTCTTTATGGATGCATAACATTACAAGATGTAATGGCAAGTCTAATAACTACCATTATTTTGAAGTAGTGATGAGCATAAAACAATAACAGTAATGTAATATAAAAATATCCATGATTTCTATTGGTGACAAAATCACAGGTAAGGTTAATATTACTGTACTTTGTTGTTTACCATTATTAAAGGAAGTGCTTTCAATTAAAGATTAATGAAAATAACGATGCAATTTTTCCCCCCAAATAACCAATTGAATTTTATCCATGGTCCTTTGGGAGTGTGTGGAACTCGGATAGGAGCCCTTCCTAGTA